CCTGGACCATAGAAACAACTTCTGATTCATAGAAACCATCCCTGGGAGCGGTAACAACCCCTGGACCATAGAAACAACTACTCCTGAACCATATAAATCATCCCTGGACCATATAAACAACTCCTGAATCATAGAAACAACTTCTGAAACATAAATCATCCCTGTGCCAGAGAAACTACTCTTGGACAATAAAAACAACTCCTGGACCATAGAAACAACTCCCGAACCATATAAATTATTCTTGGTCTATAGAAACAACTCCTAGACCAAAGAAACAACTCCTGAACCATATGAATTATCCCTGGGCTATAGAAACAACCCCTGGACCATAGAATCTACTCTTGGACCATAGAAATCATCCCTGGGCCATAAAAACAACTCCTGGACCATAGAAACAACTTCTGAACCATAGAAACCATCCCTGGGAGCGGTAATAACCCCTGGACCATGGAAACAACTCCTGAACCATAGAAATCATCCCTGGGCCATATAAACAACTCCTGAACCATATAATAATCCCTGGTCTATAGAAATAACCCCTGGACCAAAGAAACATCTCCTGAACCATATAAATCATCCCTGGTCTAAAGAAACAACCCCTGGACCATAGAAACAACTCCTGAACCATAGAAACCATCCCTGGGCTATAGTAACAACCCCTGGACCATAGAAACAACTTCTGAACTATATAAATCATCTCTGGTATATAGAAACAACCCCTGGACCATAGAAACAACTGAACCATAGAAATCATCCCTGGGACATAGAAACAACTCATGGATCATATAAACAACTTCTGAACCATAGAAACCATCCCTGGGCTATAGAAACATCCCCTGGACCATAGAAACCACTCTTAGACCATAAAAACTACTCCTGGGCTGTAGAAACAACTCCTGAACCATATAAATCATCCCTGGGCCGGAGAAACTACTCTTGGACCATAGAAACAACTCTTGAACCATAGAAACCATCCCTGGTCTATAGTAAAAACCCCTGGACCATAGAAACACCTCATGAACCATATAAATTATCCCTGGTCTATAGAAACAACCCCTGGACCATAGAAACAACTCCCGAACCATAGGAATCATCCCTGGGCCATAGAAACAACCCCTGGACCATAGAAACTACTCTTGGACCATAACAACTACTCCTGGGCTATAGAAACAACCCCTGGACCATGTAAACTACTCTTGGACCATAAAAACTACTCCTGGGCTATAGAAACAACCCCTGGACCAGAAATTATGTGATGGTTTGTGTTGACCCCAGTCAGTCAAGGCAGGCAACTTTAGCCCTTTTCAAAGGAAGTCATTTCTTTCCACTGTCACCAGTGCACTGCTCAGGACGAGAGATTGTTACACTGAAGATTTAACTCAATCTGCTTCATCATAAAATTCTGTATAAAAATGTTTTATAAATAGATTGAAATGGCTGTAATTGGATTTAAATCTGGATCTGTTGTGAACTGAATTGGATTTATCATTTAGACTTGTTTTTGAACAATTTAGCCACAAATAGTTTAAACGAAAGGAGCTGAAATGTTAACGCCCAGGGAGAAGGTTGTCAAAGCATCACGACCTCAGAAGAAAATCAGACGAGGAAAATGTGGAGTTATCCTAATTGATATTGTCATCATCTGTCACTATTCAATGATAATATTGCAGTTTCTTATTTTTTTAATATTGTACAGCGTTGATATAGATTGAATATGCCAAGAAAAGTGGGTACTGTAAAAGAACAAGTGAACTCAAAACAAAGGGAAAAATATTCTTGAAAAAAATGTTTTTTACCTTGAATTTAAATAGAACCACCAAGTTTTCTAACGACAGTGATGTTTGTTATCAGCCATACTGCAGAGCTACTGTTACATGTGGGAGGGTATTTCGCAGCTAAAATGTTTGTTCCTTTGCGTAATGAATTTGTGTAAGTGAAGAACATGTGTGACGATGATAGAGTTATTTCATCCATCTCTGTCTGCCAAGCAGAAAGAAGAGACTCCACTTCCACCTGGATGTTTTAAAATACACCTCACTGTCTGCCATGTTGACTCTAATGCTTCAGATAAACATTAATTGAACAGAAAAAACCAGCGAGACCAAGAGCCGGCAATGAGAATGGAGGAGAAAGGATTGTGGAAGAGAGTCGGAGGGGTAGAGGGGTCGAAACGCATTGTTGTCATTGGTGAGCTGTCTCAGCAGAGCTGAACAGAATCAACAGGATTTACTATTTTCAGCATCGTATCGGCCTCAGAAGCCAAATCTCAATGGTGCTGGAAAAGAAAATTTGACAATGTATTAAGTCAGAAGCTGCACAAAAAGAAAAAAAAACAACCGAACAAACAAAAACAGCTCTACATGCAACAGAACACAGGAGGATGACAAACAGCGCTTTTATACGGCATATATTCTGGATATTCACCAGTATACATATATACTGAGATTTTATTAAAGCAAATAAAGATAATTATGGAAATTGGGGGCAGGCAGAGCTTCTAGTTTACGCATCCTCCAGGAGCAATTTGGGATCAGTTGGCCTATCCAAGGCCAGTGGGGAAGCCAAATTCAGATAAACAACAATTGTTTTGGGCAGGCAGACACTGATTGCTGTCTGCCTTCAAGTTCTGCTGGTGCACTCAATGGCAAATCCAAACAGCCAGATATGTGGATCCATGATCGTTAGCATTCTCCAAGGTCAAAGCCTTCATTCTGGCAAGTTCCAGGAGCCGCAAGTGGCCTACAATTCTCAAAAATCGTGTCCAGCTTGTGGTTGAGCTCGTTAAGCATATGAGTCTGAGAGCTCGAGGCATGAATTAATCCTTCACGTAATGCTGGCAGCTTTACCGTGGCCGAAAATGCTGCTTCCTAATTTGTCGATATCCAAGGTATCCACCGATTCGAAAAAGCAGAAACCCTGTTATCATAAATACAATAATGTACATGTCTTCTACGTCCTCTATGGACAGCACAGATAGGCACATCATCATCCACTGCCCCC